TTCTTTTACTGTGTATTTTTAATTTGGGATATACATTTAAGTTGAGCCTCTATTATGGTGTCTTTGAAAAGTGTCAATGCGGCTTGCAGGGATTTCACTCTAGTCACTGTACCTTTTAATTTCTGTTTAACTAATCACCTAATTTTTGCATAGTTTCCCTTTCTGAAATTAAATGCCACAGTGTTGGGCTGTTGAGGTGTTCTTCCCACCACAGGAATGTTAAATGTTGTTATATTATGGTCACTATTTCCAAGCGGTCCTGTTACAGTTACTTCTTGGACCAGATCCTGTGCTCCACTCAGGACTAAATCAAGAATTGCCTCTCCCCTTGTGTGTTCCTGTACCAGCTGCTCCAAGAAGCAGTCATTTAAAGTATCGAGAAATTTGTCTCTGCATTTCATCCTCAGGTGACATGTACCCAGTCAATACGGGGATAATTGAAATCCCCCACTATTATTGAGTTCTTTATTTTGATAGCCTCTCTAATCTCCCTTAGCATTTCATAGTCACTATCACTGTCCTGCTCAGGTGGTCGATAATAGATCCCTCATGTCACAGAGAAACGTGGTGTCAAATGCAGCATCCATTATCAAAAAAGGACACTGGAGCATCTTCTGAGGCTGTGTCCATAGCAGCTTTATTTACAAGCTGATATTGTTCAGGTTAAAATAGAAAGGGCTGCTATAGACAGTCTGGGTAGTTTTCCATGGGCTGAGAAACTATAAAACCCAGAGTGATGAGGAAGGGGGCCTTGGTCACTGCCTTTAACTGGGTTCTCTCCCCGCCCCGTAAGTTGTGAGTCTCATGGGTGTAAAGCCTGTTGACTCTCAGGTCAATATTCTTGGGTTTAATAATGTTCCCAGTCCTAGGTTAGTCTTTGTCTGCTCATCTGATGCCATCCATGCTTGCTCCCACCACCAGGAGAGAGACAGAAACTTCCTCTGACAACTGGACTTGGGTTCCAACCCAGCCTTCCAACCTGACCTCTGAACTCTTCCTGCACCTACCTACTGTTAAAATAGAAGTTTATTTTCCCCTCTATGTTTTATTAAGTCATTTTCCCACAGACATACCAGTAGTTTTGTAAGTCAGCTGAGAATGGTTGGTTGCCACCCAAGTAATATTTTCATCATCATTTAAGAAAAGAATTCTAGAAGGAAAGCTGGTTTTGTAACACGCAATCCCACCCCATCCTCCCTCATGTGTAAGTAGAGAGAAAGAGAGAGGCAGAAAGGGAGAAAGAGACTGACTCTGTTTTTTTTGTTTTTTCCAAGAATGCCCAAGTAACGTAGGGACACAAGTCCAACTGAAAGTCAATACAACTTATTATTATTATTTATATTATTGTAGTGTCTAGGAGTCCCAGTCATGGCCCAAGACCCCATAGTGCTAGGCACTGTACAAAGACAGAACAAAAAGGCAGTGCCTAAGCATAAGCTTCATGCTAATACGTCACTTAAGTACTTTTGAAAACCCCATCCACAAAGTTTACATCACGTGTGTGATTATTAAGGAGTCCAACCATGAGAAAGAACCCTGGACCGCTTAGCAATAACCATGAGATGCATCTAATCATCACAGCCAGGACACCACCCAGGCACTAGTTCATTTGGGCATTTTATCATTTAACAACACAGGGGTGTATATACAAGAGTATGATAGGACCATGCCCTTAGCCATGTCCACCGAAGGCACAATTGCAGGCTGCAGACACGCAGACCTTGCAGTAGTCTGACTTCGGTTTCAGGGACTTTCTTGCCTCCAGTTATGGAGGTAGCAGCCCCACCGCTCAGAACTGCAGGGGACTAACCTCAAAAATGACAACCCCGATGAGGGGTGCCGCATGCATGACGACTTTGTACCATGTGATGAACTAACAAGAGGATTCCGCTCAGACAGGAATGGAGGGGGATGCACACAGGGACCTTGCTTTAGAAACGCTGTAGAAGTAGAGTGTGGTAACACAGGATGGCAACATCTCTGCATTTCTTTGCTCTATTGCAGCTAAAGAAGAAATTGTAGTCACCCAACACCAATTCCTTTACGCCAAGCAGTTTATAGCTAGTTGGAAATTTCAGTTAAAAGCACTGCTCAGGTACAAGATATGCACATTATTAGAAGTATTTAGGCTTTAAAACAGAGCATTTTCTTTAATTTCTGTGTAATTATTCCACATGTGACTTAAAGCATATATTAAAGCTTTCACCAGGAACTAAAAAAAATATTTATAGTACAAAAATGATGTACTGATAACTTATCTGCTGATTCAGAATATGAGCTTCAAAACAAGAAGCCTATATCCTTTATGCTTCTTTCACAGATACCAACACTATCAGCTCCTTTGTTTAACTGTCTGTAGCATTCCTTACAAGGCATATGGTACTCTTTGCAATATATGTTTTGATATCATTTCTTATGCTCCCTCAGGCAATTCTTGCCTTAATAGCATCTTTCCTCCCCTTCAATAAGCGTGGTCGCCGACTAGGGCTGCCATACTTCTTAACTGTACCTAATAGTACAAACGGGACCAGGAAGAACAAACGAATGGATTTCTCCCCATCCCAACCTCTGCCCCAAAGCGTACAAAAAGATTCCATAGTCTCGGTCAGTCTTAAACAGGGCCCATTCCCTATTTACAGGTGATGGGGAAATCCTGATGAAAACTAAATTTGTCAAGTCAAGTCATGATTGACTTCAAATTTCAGAGCCTGTGACCTTCTCAAATTGTGACCTGGTTCCAGCCTGTGACCTTCTCAAATTACTTTCGGCTAAAATGTTAAGCACACATTTAAAAGAAAAGGTCAACAACCAGTCAGTATGCCAAAGACACCAGGTTTGTTTTACAAATAATTAAAATAACAAAAGGCTGCCTAATAATTGGGTTGTGTAAATTCAGTGCTTTGTAGGACGAAGGCTTAATGGCTGCTTAAGGAATGGAGCATATTTTCATAAGCATCAGATAATGGCAAATATTATCCTCCATGTTATTTAAAGGTCAGCTGGAAAATGATGTTGATCATGTACAGTTGGAAAGGCCTGTGTCATCAGAAATGTACAACTGAAACAAGCGTTGCTTCCTTGAAACCTTTGGAAGACCAAGCATTTACGTTCATAGTTAAAAGTTTACAAGAGGTAGGATACACTCTAGAGTCACATAAATATACCATTTTCTCTGCAAGAAGGCCAAGGTACCCTTTTTGATAACATATGTTTTTACAGAGAAACATAACTGGGCTCCAGTAACATCATACTGAAATAACTGCATTTTTAATATTCATTAAAGTCACTATGCCGTGGCTTCAATAACACTACCATCAAGCTGAAATGAGCGGTAATGATGTTATCATGCTGCCTTCAAGAGACGGTCTAAATATCTCAACTCTGTTGGCTACACATGAATACAAAGGACTGGATAATATCTGAGCAGGAACAAGCAAAGCATATTCCTCCTTGGAAGGCCTGGGAGAGGACAATCATAACAGACTGAAACAGATTCTGTTGTGCTGGAACAACACTCTGAGCTTGGAAAAGCCAAAGGATACATAAGGGAAGCAAAATTGTCACATGGCGATCACCTAATGGACAGATGGGGGATATGATGTATTACATAGCCACGGAGCATATAAACTCGCTGGGTGCATAGGCGAAGGGCAGGCACAGAGCTGTCAGAGCAAACTCAGGCTGGTTTCTTATTAGCAGGAGAAAACAAGAAGTCAAATGAGCTCCAAAAGCAAGAAGGGTGAGCGTCTGGATGCTGAGCAATGTGCAGGGAAGGGTTGGATGGAATTAGAAAGTAGGTTGGAGGCACCAAGGGATGAAGTGAGAGACCCCAGGAAGGAGCTTTGAACAAGACCCAGATCTGAAGAGCGGATTGTTTCACAGAAAGAAATATTTTTAGTGTGATGTCCATGGCTTTTGCTGCTCAGCTCCCATGAATATTAAATCTCCCACACTGAACTGTTCGTGCCAAGTGATCTAAACTAGGAAGAGAGAGATATCAATGAGGGCAATACAAAATGGACCTAAGTGAAAGGATCTTGAGATGGGCAAAGAGAGCAGCTGTCACAGCCAAGTATGCAGAGAACTGCCAAGAAATTGAAGTTGATACATTCAAAGGCCGTAAGGAAGAGTGGAATCAGGGTTACAGGACACACTAGAATGGAAATTGCTCACTGACGTGTATTTCTTCCTTCCTCATTTTCCTTTGACTAGTTACTCTCCCCCATGAATCGCTCTCTAGCTGCCTCTCTAACACAGTGCTTCCCTCTGCTGTCACTGGTTCTCTCCCTGATGTTTTCTACCATGGGGTAAGAAGGTTGTGCACAAATATCATCTGAATGTATGGAACCTGAAATGACTTCAATCCAGACTTCCAGTGGAACAATTACAGAACTTTAACCATCACAATTAAAGAGCAGTTTTTACTACCCCAAATTCAAAGGGAACTAGACTGAAAGTGCAATCATCCACATAGTCATTAGCCTTTCAGTCATTTCCACTGCAGTTCACCAGCCAACAGACTAAATGTTCCCTTCGTTTGACTCTTTGATCTCACTCGTGTCCCTGTTATCTCATTAGTTGTCCCCCGGAATCATTTGGTTTCCAGGTCCTGTGGATCCTCCCCTTAGGCTGGGGGGAGGTCCTTTGGCAGTGGGCGGGTCCTGGATTCCAATAGGAACAAACTAAATGTCTTTCAGACAGTTTGGTCTGGCTCTGAATGGACTGAATGCATACTAGATTTGTGTCGTGAGGCTACCTTTTTTTCTGTCTTTTCTACAACAAAGACAAGTAAAAACTAAAAATTCAATTACTGCTGCTGATGCATGTCATATTTTCTCTATCATTTATGGGAAATTGTTTTCATTAACTTAGCATTTCAGCTATCCTAACTGGTACCTCTGGATATGTGATTATCTGATGCTGTCACAGGTGGTACATGCCTTTGCATAGGGTCACAGATTCACAAAGCAGCACAGAATAGGGCTCTGAAACATACTCACGTTTTCTGATCGGAGCTTCTTGGCCGGGCAGCCTCCATCTATGGGATGTAGCATGTAGTAAAGTCTCACTTTGCTCGCATGTTTCCGACTCTGTGAAGGAAGAGCGAAAACTGGTGAGGCAACAATCAAAACATTCTTACTGGACAGCAGAGAGAACCAAAACTTGAATGAGATTTATCAGTCCCCTTGATAAATATCAATCCTGGGATGCGAGAGGGGAAACCCTTAGTGAGTAACTCCTACATTCAGAGAACATTTCACAGAGCTTTCACCATGACTGTGGAACAGAGTTTAATCCTGGAGATATTGTAAAGCCATCAGATATGGAGATAAATGGTACAACTTCATCTTGAATGCTGCATTCAGTCCTGGTTGCCCAGCTCCATGAAGATCGAGCAGAAATGGAAAAGGTTCAGAGAATGGCAACACAAATTATTAGAGGCAAAGAAAGATTTCCATCCCAGGAAAGATTTAATAACAAAGGATTAGACATTTATATGAACTGGAACTTCCACAATTACTGCACTTAAGATAGGATAAAAATGTATAAGGGATATAAAACCTAATGCTCCAGGAAATAAGTAAATCAATAACTGCATAGGGTTAGGGCAAAACTTCCCCTATGGGCAAAATTATCAGATAATTGTGCATTATAGAGCTTTTATGCCTTCCTCTGAAGCATTTGGTGGTGTCCACTGCCAGAAACAGCATACTGGACTAGATGGACCTTGGTCTGAGCTAGCATAGAAATCCTGATTCTCCTTCTCTCCTTTTTTTAGTGGTGGTCTCAGATAAACCTTGCCCAATACTCTGAAAATCTGGGAGGTTGATTGTTCCTGGAACTAAGCTCCACTGGCAGGAAAAAGGCCCAAGTTAGTTCCATAGTTGTTAAAAAACAACCCTCCCACCCCCCACCCCAAACAAACATTCTGCTCCCAAGTGCTAATGCTCTGTTTTGTTTGATAACAGCCATCAGCCTCTCAGGAAGTGGGAATAAAAGATTTGTGGACTTAAAGAAGAGAGACCCCAGTCGCCCACAGGCCCAAGTTCCATGTGGGGCACTAGTTGCTCCACAATGAAATACACTTCCAAGGAATGAACTCTTCCCAGGTTAGCAACTTGGGGGCTGTTTTCCCTCCCCCAAGAATATTTAGGACAGTTGCTTTGCTTGCTCAGTAACTTTCCCAAAGAGTCTAGCCAGCAATCAATCAATCAATATGTGCATAAACACAGCAGCAACCGCCGCCGAATAGCCCAACGTGCCGCCCCTTCCCCTTGGCCGCCCCAAGCACCTGCTTGCTGCGCTGGTGCCTGGAGCCGGCCCTGGCACTACCTGTGCTTCATACTCTGAGATAGGAAATAGAATGAGAAATCAGGACGAGTGTTGAAGGGTGAAGGACCTGCTTGGTCCTCAGGTCAATCAAATGCAAGTGAACAATACAGTACACGTGCCAGTGGCACCAGGAAACCGGCATGCTGACCAGCTAAGAGACAGACCGGAGGTGACAGGGTGCCTAAATACTATGATAATGGGCCCATGACAAAGGTCAGATGATTAGAGAGAGAGAGAGAGAGAGAGAGAGAGAATAACGATTAGTCACTGTGACAGGTTTCAGAGTAGCAGCCGTGTTAGTCTGTATCAGCAAAAAGAACGAGGAGTACTTGGTGGCACCTTTGTTAGAGACTAACAAATTTATTTGAGCATAAGGTTTTGTGGGCTAAAACCCACTTCATCAGATGCATGTAGTGGAAAATACAGTAGGAAGATATATATACACAAAGAACATGAAAAAATGGGTGTTGTCATACCAACTATAACGAGAGTAATCCATTAAGGTGAGCTATTATCAGCAGGAGAAAAAAACTTTTGTAGTGATAATCAGGATGGCCCATTTCCAACAGTTGACAAGAAGGTGTGAGTAACAATAGGGGAAAAATTAGCATGGCAAAATAGTTTTTACTTTGTGTAATGACCCATCCACTCCCATTCTTTATTCAAGCCTAATTTAATGGTGTCCAATTTGCAAATTAATTCCAGTTCTGCAGTTTCTTGTTGGAGTCTGTTTTTGAAGTTTTTTTGCAACTTTTAGGTCTGTAATCAAGTGACCAGGGAGATTGAAGTGTTCTCCGACTGGTTTTTGAATGTTATAATTCTTGACGTCTGATTTGTGTCCATTTATTCTTTTGCATAGAGACTGCCTGGTTTGGCCAATGTACATGGCAGAGGGGCATTGCTGGCACATGATGGCGTATATCGTATTGGTAGATGTGCAGGTGAACAAGCCCCTGGTGGTGTGACTGATGTGATTAGGTCCTATGGTGTCCCTTGAATAGATATGTGGACAGAGTTGGCAATGGGCTTTGTTGCAAGGATAGGTTCCTGGGTTAGTGTTTTTGTTGTGTGGTGTGTGGTAGCTGGTGAGTATTTGCTTCAGGTTGTGGGGCTGTCTGTAAGCGACAGTATCTCTGTCAACTGTCTTAGGATAGCTCAGGAACAGAGAGAGTAGCATCAACATTGTGTCATATATACAAAATAAATAAATAACATCCTCTGATGGCAAGTACTTAGCACTATAAATATTCCAGTTTTTAATGGCTGAAAATAAACAAAACTGAGAGCAGTTAAACTCCAGACCTGGTTATTTCAGTTTCAGTTACAAGAAAAATGCCATTGAGCCAAAAAGAAAACTGGAAATAACAATTACTTGAAATTGCATTGAGGGTCAGTTTCATGCTATTTCTTGCATTAATAATTTTGCATTTTAAGCAAAGTCATTACTGTGATTCAAACCGCATTTGTTTCATGCTTCTAGGAGTGGCCAGTACCAACCTCCCTCTTGGTTAATTAAGCCCCTTGCCCCTTAGTGCTCCCAATTCTGCTAGAGACAAGACTCCTTCCCACATTTATTTTTATGTCGGACAGAACCCCGAGGCCTTCAAAGAGAAAGACTCTACAGCAGGGGTGCAGAAGAGTCGTCTAATTTGTGACAGAGAACACACTTTGTGTAATGCTTTAATAAATCTGTGCTCTGGACAGCTGAAAAGGGAAAATGAAATGTACTCCTCATATTAGTAAAAACCCTGTGATTTTTAATATATAAAGAAGGATTAAAGCTTCCACAGCAAGAGCCCTAAATTGCTGCAGACAAGTTTTTAGGGCATCGCTTAATCAGAATCAGAGTCCTTGTCTTCCTGTAGATCTAAGGGGAGAAATCTGCAGCTAACAGACATGCAGACACAATCCAGACATGCACAGCAGCTATTATTATGCAAACAAGTTTGCTCTGAATCTCCATTTTTGAGTGCCCTGCAGAACAACTGCACCACTAGATTATAATTTCAGATCACAGATTTTAATGGTAATTTAATTTTTTAAAATTGCAAGAGTGGTGGAACAGTTTTTCCATGGCGAACGTGGAGCTAAATTTGTATGCGTAAATGTGACTGTGCATTTTAAGCAGGATCATGCAATGAATTAAAACAAACAAATAAAAAGATGGAACAAATCAGTGCAGATAAATAGGGTCACGTATCTTTCCCCACCTCCTCTTCTTATAAGGCTTCAGAAAATGGATTTTCCCTGACAGGCCTCAAATCTGTCTAAAACCAGTGTGGTTAGAGCTAAATAGAGGAAAATCCAAATGCCTGTACTATCAAAGATTAAAAGTCAAGACACGTGATTAAGCAATTTAAAAATGATAGAGTTAATCCATTTGAATTTTAAAGGATTGAGCTGAGCAAGTCAGTCCCATATGTCACTGGTCCCCCCAGAGTTTCTTCCTTGAACTTGTAGCAATAGCATATGAACTTTTCTTTGTGTTTCACTCACTAGAGATCTGCACAACTGGAAACCTGGGGGCTGCTCCAGCGCTCAGTAAAGTCAGTGCAAAGGCTCTCAATGATTTCAGTGGGCTTTGGATTGGGCCCAAACTGGGCAGGAAGTATTGAGAGTGACACTGGTACTTCGCATTTGGACGCAGTACATAGCACTGAATGAGCCTTGTTCTCAGCTGCACTGTGGGGCACAGGTGCTTTGCACTACACTGGCAGTGTAAAAGAGGACTGCCAGTGAGCGTCAGTGTAACGCACAGCCACTGTCAGACCCCTTTGCACTGAGAGTGGTACAAACAAAAGAAAATCAGGACCAGTGTTTTTATGATGCTCTGAAGCTGTTAAGTAATTAATAGATGAACCCTCACATCCCCCCTGTCAGGAGGAGAATATCCCCATTTCACAGGGATGCACCTAGCAGTTAATGGCCTGAAGTCACCGGGTACAGAGAGGACTCTGCTTCTCATGGGGTCTGACCCCAAGGGCCTTGGCCAGCGTCACACTGCACAGATGTGATGCAGCCAGGTAGTTCCTGTGGTTAAAACCTGGGACTGCACACTCGGAATTCTGAGTTCTGTCACAGCTGTACCAAACACTCCCTGGGTGATCCTGGGAACGCCTCAGCTCCCCCGCTCTAAACGGGGATATTGATTCTCACCAGCCTCACTTGGGAGTGGCGAGGTTTGATCCCGTGTTAGGAACACAGACCCTGCCAGCCTGGTTCAGACCCCAAATCCAGCTACACCTCTACCCCGATATAACAGTGTCCTCAGGAGCCAAAAAATCTTACCGCATTATAGGTGAAACCACGTTATATCGAACTTGCTTTGGTCCGCCGGAGTGCGCAGCCCCGCCTCCCCCAGAGCACTGCTTTACCGCATTATATCCGAATTCGTGTTATATCAGGTCACGTGATATCGGGGTAGAGATGTAATTCAGCACCCTCTCTCTGACGATGCCCAGCACCAGAGGCTTGAGAGGAAGCTGTAAGAACCTCGCAGTAGTAGAAGTGGGAAAATCTGCCCACATGGAGGTTTCAGCCTAACCCCTAATACAGACAGTTATATCCATTGTAAAATTTCTTTAGAACACTTTATCATCATCACATGGAAAGAGCTGTGAGTGCAAAGCATTCTTACTAGGACAATGTGGCTTTTCTATTTTGGTCTGTTTAGTTCTACGCTTTGTGCAGTCTAGCTGTATGTAGCTATACTCTGCTGTCTGGCTGAGTTTATATGCAGTACAGAAAGATTATTTTT